CGATTACAACGCGAAACAAGAAAATCAAGAAGACAGAGGTAACAACCATAAACCATATTGAAAAAGGAGGCTCATCAATTAGAGCTTTATAATAAGCGTTCGTCTTCTTTAATTTATACTTTGAAGCTCTTCCCTAGTTTGTAAGAAAGACCGCTCGGCTATACAATATTTTTTATGGTACACAGGTACATACATTTACTACATACATTGAATGGTGATAAGAGGTGTATCTTAATCCGATTACTTACATTATCACTAAAACAACCGATTGATTTGCTACACTCTTGTTACAGCACTTAGCTATGCAAGTTGTAGATAAACGGCATAATTGTACTATATACTTTCATTGCAAATATAAACACACACATTTACACGTACATACAACACACAACCCTGCTGAGAAACCCTTTAGCAGTGTTGCCTCACATGGGCTTATCCTACCAAAACTGGCAGGTTTTTTTCCATTCGGTAGGTTGGCAGGCAAGATTGGATTTTGGTAGGTTCCGCAACAATGAGTAATAGTTATTTGCGAAAAATAGAAAATATGTATGTATGTCCCAACATATACACGAATATTTCACCGGTGCGTTCGTATAACGGCGACCAGAGTCATATTCCCGAGGGCGGTCGAAGTTTGTGTTCGCATCTGGGTCTGAAGGCAACGAAAGGGCCGACTGTCTCGCAAAGCGTGGAACCGAAAAAAGGCTACACTGCAGAACTACTTAGAAGCTGGAAAGAATCTCAGATTGCTTCCCACTGGCGGAAGGAAAAGGTCGCATAAGTCCATACAGTAAAATGAATTGTTATTCGCGGTTAACAGTTGTGTTAGTTATACTAAATGTTAACTTATCTACATTTTTAATAACCTAGTCATTGAAAAAAAAATATTAACAACTCAAAAAAAAATGTTGGTAGGTTTTGGTTGATTTTGGCAGGAAGTTTTGGTAGGAAAAAAATTTGTCTGTGGCAACACTGCCCTTTAGTGAAAGCTACTGTTTGCGAACCAGTTTGCTATGTAACTCAACTAGTTCGTCAATTGTTGGGTTATGCATCAGAGCCAACCAGTAAAAATACTACTTAGTATCGTCATGTCAGTTACCTATCTACATATGTACATACATTTGTACTACCAGTTAAAAATACATGTCCGTTATTTTGCCCACGGTGCTACAAAAGTCATATTGGCAAACCAGCTAGAGTATTGCCGTATCGTTCCAGAAATCCGCCGTTCGAATCTTCGACCAGCGTTAATAAATACTTATGTATATGTAGGGCTAGGAATCTCATGCACTCGAAATTCAAAAATATGCGCTATAAACAAGTAAAATATGCAATTAAAAATATTTTCCCAATCTTTTATTGCTGCTACAAAAATAAATAACACATATATTTTAACAAGAAAATAACGAATGGAGGGCACTATCTTTGATACAATATATCTTAGAAGTGGTAGTACTGAGGGAAAAAAAATCTCACATAGTTTTTATAGACAATTGCATGATCTACAATTTAGTCAAGCCAATTTTTGAAGTGTAACTGCTTTAGCGGCGGTTGGTTGGTTTGGAGTAAATTGGCAAACTCAACGGAAATTGCACACGGAAATGGTGCAACGGAAATGATGCAACGGAAATGATGCAGCGGAAATGGTTGGGGCTGAAACAAGTGCTTCTTGTGTGTATGCATATGGTATTAATTTAACAAAAATTTGCTAATAAAAGGTTAAAGAATTACACTTAGAAAAAGACCAATACAAGAATGGAAGTAAAGGTGACTACGTGAATAGATAAAGAAAAGAATGAAGGCAAAGCCAAAAATAAAAACAAAAACAAATATGCGTAAAGATAACGGCCAAAATGAAGACCAAGGTAAATTTAAACACTTTACTTATATATATAAAGGCAAAGGTGAAGGGGATTATGTAGATGAAGAAAATGATAAACATAAAAGTAAAGACAAAGTAGAGAATGAGGATACCGATAAAAGTAAAGATGAAGATAGGGAAGAAAGATAACAAGTCATTTTTAGCAAAAAAAAACTGACTTAAAAAAATATTTATATATACATATATATATATATTTCATGATCCAATGATCGCATCTAAACCAGATTAGTATGGGACCACCTCTGTGACACTACCTTTCCGATGCAAATTCTCGTAATCGGTTGACGTGGTCCAAAGTTATGCGGTAACATACATAAAAAAAAAATAAAAAAAATATTCCGACGAACAGATAACCTCCTACTTTTTTCGAAGTCGGTTAAAAATAAAGGTAAGTAAAGAGGAAAGGATATAGAGAGAGACACAGAGGCTCAATCTGGGAACCATTTTGGGATTTTAGAGGTTTTCAGGATTCTCGGGAATTATCGATAAAGTATGTAATCGATATTTTTATCAGTTTGGTTATCGATATTTTTATCGCTTTTTTATCGCAATTTTTATCGATATTGTTATCAATTTTGCTATAGATATTTTCCGAACTTATCGATGTAATCGATTTTTTTATCGATTTTGTTATCGATATTTTTATCGATTTGTTATCGATTTTGTAATAAATATTTTCAACTAATTTGTTAGCGATATTTTTTATCGATTTTGTTATCGATATTTATCGATTTTGTTATCAATATTTTTATCGGTTTTGTTATTGATATTTTTATCGAGTTTCTAATAGATTTTGCTAGCATTATTATTATCGATTTTTTCATCGATATTTTTATCGGTTTTGTTATCGATATTTTATTAGATGTTACTATCGATTTTGTTATCGATAGAGTATAAAGATAAAGGAAAATAGAATAAAATAAATGTAATGAGAACGAACAGGGGTAGTGGTAGGGATCTAGATAGAAAAAAGACAAAAAATATAACCTTAAGCAAAAGCAGATGTATTTATGTATGTACATATTTATGTATGCATGTATATTAGTTATGAGACAAAATAGGTATGTATGTAACGTAAATTTCACTTCTCCAGTGTGTCCCAGGCGCACTTTCTTTTTTTGATAAACCTTACCGTTTGGTTTAAAAGTGGAAAAAACAATTTATGTGACCTTTTACCTTTCATAATTTTTATTTTGCAGATGTGGGATCAATGGGGCCCTTTCACATTTCTTTCATAATGGAGTTGTCGATATGCGTACCAAATTTGAGCTTTATGCCAATTATTGCAACCTAGAATGTCTAACTTGACGGGGATATAAAGTTTATTGGAACGTTTTATATACGATTTTTATGTTTTTCGTCATAACTACTTATGAATAAAGTTTTTATAAATGATAGTTTTGTGTTTTATTCCATAATTTACTAATTACGTTAACGAAAAATATCAATAAACATAAAATTAGTTTGATAAATTAGCAAACATAGCCAGAATTTTTGTGTGGATAGACTTACGCCACGTTGCACAGGTGAGCATTTTTTTCACCTTGTACACCGAAGGTAAAACTTAACTTCTGCAAAATAGAGGTGAGACCCTTATAAAATTTTACTATGGGCCTCTCGGTACAATAATTATTTTTGATGTAAAATAAATTGTGATAAGGTGAAGCTAAATCTCTCGTATGTATGCCATAATGTTAACTGGGTTTTCGTTTTGGCTTTGACAATTCGAGCACAGGCGTTGCTACTCTCATTTTTTAAATTGTTTCGAAATAGATGAACTGTTATGCCAGTCGGTCGGTTTCTACCAGTTGATCTACCAAAATGTTTACTGACTGGTTTGCCTTTTCGCCGCTGGCAATGTTACAACAGTCTTTATCAAGGGTGCAATTTTGCTTGATATTAACTCCCGTAGGTGTATGTTTGCATTTTTGTTGCGTCCGTTGACTTTGGTTTATTTTATAAATACTACTAGAAAGTAACAACATAATTATGGACTAACATATATAACATTTTTACTACAATAAAACTGACGCAAATTTCTGCGTTTTTGCATCTATTGCGACAACCAAAAGTAAATGTCAGAGTAAATACTAAATACCTAAGTTAATATAAATGTACAAATATATGCACATATATACATATGAGTATATGTACATTCATATTTATATATATATGTACGAATATACAACTGTTTGTTTATTTACCTTTTCTTTGGATTTGCTATGAAATGTGATGTGTGCTTAAGATTACAGTGCATGTAGCTAACCAAAAAAAAAAATGGTAATAATAAACTTAAAACGAATATGAAAACCGAAAGATGTACGCTGGGTAACTGTATCTCTATCTATAAAAATACGTATAAGATTATTTGGCAATTTTGTTTGTGTTTTCGAAAGTGTGAACTGTCAGTTA